CCTGCCATTAGGGGGCGCTGCAGCATCAGCACCCCTCCATCACACCACCCTGCGTCCTCTGAAGGATCAACTTCCCTGGTGCTGCGCTCTAACCTCAACGAACCGTTTCCATCCGTCCGACCAAAACCTCCAAACTCAGGATGTGCTCACTGTGCTCACTGTGCTAACTGTACGCTGCTGCTTTACTGGCTGCGTTTTTTAAAGATGGAGCCTCATGGCGCCGGGTTCTACCAGAGAAGAGTCAACCTTTCACCTCTGACCTTTAAAACAATGACAGTACACAGGAGCTACCTGGAAGCTTTGGCGTTAGCACGTTTTAGCGCCAACTGTGAGCAAGAAGAAGAACGTTTGCTCGAGAACAACAACAGCGGCTGCTAAAGAGGTTAGCGTAGCTGCTGCTAGGTGTGTGTGTGTACAGTGTGTGTGGTGTGTGTACAGGTGTGTCAGTGTGTGTGTGTGTGTGTGTTTACAGTGCTTTACATTGTGGTGTGTTCAGGTGGTACAGCTGTGTGTGTGTGTTACAGTGTGTGTGTGTGTGTAGTGTGTGTCAGTGGTGTGTGTACAGTGTGTGTGTTTGTTTGTTTACAGTGTGTTTACAGTGTGTGTTACAGTGTGTGTGTGTTACCCAGTTGTGTACAGTGTGTGTGGTGTACAGTGCTGTCTACAGGGTTTATGGTGTGTGTGTTCTGTCTCTGGTGTGTGTGAACTGTGTTTGTGTGTTGTGTGGACAGTTTTGTTGGCGTCGAGCAAACTGCTGTGACAAAGATTTATGTGCTTGTCAAGCTGTCACAGCCCTGCAGGCAGTGTGTGTGTGGTGTGTGGTGTGTATTATCGCATGGTAACATGCTAATTCAGTGGATAGGACGCCAGAGTGGAGCTGTAATAGAGTTCCAGGGAGCGACACAATAAACGAGGACAGGCCTCGAGGAGTTATATCGGGAAGCATCAAGTGTGTCTCTGTGTGTTTTTTGTTTCTTGTGTGGTAGGATGTGTGATCAGAGGGTGAACTTTCTCATCATTTTTGTAATATTGACTTTTATCATCATTCATTGTCTCCTCTGCAGACCGTAACGACATTTACTCCAACACTTCCTCGCGCTGTTGTGTTCTCTCAGGAGGTGGCGA